CATCGAGTTCAACCCAGTCAAAAAAATTTATTAGGTTTGAGAGGTTGTTTGTCAATTGCTAAATGGTTTTGTGCAGAATGAATTATAGGGCTCTTAATGGTTAAGGGAGATCCAAGATACAAAATCATTCAGATGGTTTTAGAACCATTAAGAGGCAGACTTTTTTTTGCCAAACAAAATTCACCTCTTAACGATTCAGATGTTACCTCTTAATGGAACCTCAGAGGTAAACAAACAACCCCAGAGTTTAAATACAAAAATGAGTTCAAAATATATTATTATAAAAGTTCTTATCGAGTTTTTCAATCCATGTGTAACAACTTATTATTCCACATGGGATAAGAAAGGGTAGAGAAAATGCCTCCAACCAATGTTCGAGTACCAGGCCTGGTTGTAGCATTATCACTTTTATTTACGAATCCTTTTGTTTAATATTAGAAAATGTGATTTGTGATCTCGTTATAAGCCTCAGTTTGTGGGCTACCAATAAATTTCACTATGCACTTAAGTTGGACTAAAAATTATTGGGCTAGTATGTTGCTTTGGGCTTTCGGGTATTACAAATGGTATCAGAGCCGGGAATCAGACTGGTGTGGCAGGTAGGACGTTGGGCTCCCAGGGGGTGGATTGTGAGATCTTAAATTGGTTGTGGAGGTGAATAAATGTTGCCTTATAAGAAACTAAATACCTCATTTATCAAAGCATGTTCTAAAACCATGGGTCCAGATACGTGGACGAAACGTACAATATCAAAGCATGTTTTAAAACCGTGGGATGTCACACCACATGTATATATTAATCTTTCGACAAAATGCTTTCATCAAATATCTTTGCGTCTGGTGAGTAAACGATTAATTCATGATCTTCATCAGTATGCTTGCTCGAAATCCTTGGTTGTAGCATTTTTTTTTATTAATCTGAATATCCAACTCGTTATGCGAACCGATTAATCCCAGAATGACCATCTACTTTACAGATAATCCGGAGTCACAACCAACTAAGCGTAACCGATGGATAAATATGCAATGAGGCCATAAAGGAAACAACCAAGAAAGTTGCAAATTTCTCTGATTTATGTCTCAATCACTGTAATCAAAGACGAAGACAAAAATGTAGATGGCCAAGACTAAAAAGTCAAAAGTCATTGCATTTTTGTGGGCATAAATCAATAAGTCTTGAATGGATGAGATCAAAAGTTTGAGTTGAATTGTCAATCAATCGTATATTAGCTTATAATTAGCTTATTCAGACGTTAGTTGGAGTAGTTTTTTGTCAGTTTTTTTTATTACAACTAGGCTGACAATGGGTAAGGATAAACCTGTTACTTGTTGGATAAGGGTATAGGTAAAAAAAATTTAGTTCAGTTATTCATTTATCCGTTACCCGTTTACCCGATGTTTTGATGGGTAGGATATGGATAACGTGTTTTTCGTTATCTATTTACCCGTTATTATATATATAAATTGAATATTCACAGCCAAAACACTATGAAAGTTACCTTCGCATTGTTTTGTTGTGAAGTTTCAAGTGTAAAAAAATGGTCTCACAGGTCTCATGAAAATAGGTTAGTCTCACATGATCCCAAGTTTATATATATATATATATATATATATATATATATATATACATACATGCATATATACATACACACATACATATACAGAGGAGGTTTACTTTGCAAACCATGTTATTTGTAAAACCGTACAAACCTCATTCAACCAATCATAATTTTTCATTTTGTTCATTTTTTTTTTGTAATTATGAGAGGTTGATTAATCATTTTTATTGTGGGGGTGTTAATTATGAATATTATCATTTTCATTATTTTAGTTTTAGAGAAATACATGAAACAGTTTCATTAAGTATTGTATGAAACAATTTCATAACTATATATGAAACAACTTCATCAAAAAAAAATATTATATGAAATAATTTTACAAGATTAAACGATTTCATGAAAAAATTTCATAAGATTAAACAATGAAATCGGATAAGGGTGGTTTGTACGGTTTGTACAATTGACATTTTACTTTATCCTCATTTACTTTATCAATTGATATTTTCGGCCATTAAAATGAATTGTTGATAAACATATTTTACCCGACTAACATTTACAAAATACAAGTCTCCTCCCTCATTGGATAAAATTCTCGTTCGCTTTTTTACACCCTCGTTATATTTTATTGTATAAATTAAGTTAATGTAAATAAATAATTAAAATCAATTATTATTATAACAAATTTTAAAAATGATAATATTAAATGTTTTGTTATTTTTAAGCTTCATCAAAATATAAAATAAACATGTTAAATAACAACTAGAATGGTACTCATGTAATATAGCGAGATGCATCTTCAATTTAATATTTTGTTTTGTTTTTTTGCCTCTGTTAATATAATACGGTTTATGTGATTTTGAGAAAGATTATGTTTTTACTTTTGAATAAATTTTTTTTGAAGACATCGTAAAAAATTTAAAAAATATACCGATATTAATATCAAATTGACTATTTAAAAGTTCTCGTTTTTTTGTACAATTTCTCTAATTCAAATTTTTTATTATAATTTAATTAAAATCAAATAGTGAAGTAATTTATTTTTGGCTTCACAATAACTTTTTTTTAAAGATAATAATTCTGTTAGAAATCAATGATTATCCTAATTATATTTTAAATTTTTATACTTAAAATGAGATGTTTATCATGTATTTGATTATATTTATCTGCAGTTAGTTATACGAATTCAAAAATGTAGCTTTAAAAAACTGTATTTACACACAATTTACTTGTAAATTTAAACTTTAAGTAATATGCATTGATATACAATATTTCATGCATAAAGAATGATTTTTAAGAGTTTTTGTCAAATGCTTTATAATATAGTATAGATTTTATTGTGTTTATCTTGATCTCAAAATATTCCAATACTTAGATTTTAGAAAAATAAAAACAGAAACTTATAAATCTTGATTCTAGATTATGAGTTAAAGTCATGGTATCTCAAAGTTTACTGCGAAATTAATTGCAAAATTGATTACCAAACCATTGAAAAGTGATTCCGAACAAATTACAAACATACGGATCTGATTTTTTGGAGCATTTAGATCTCAGAAAAATAAACAACTTAAAATATCATCTGAATCTGAGTTGTTGGTTTATAGTTGAAGCCTCCTGAAGTTTTATTATGAATATTATCACAAACATTTATATCGTCAAATCTTACCATCGTAAATCGTAATGGATCGGAAAAAAATAAATATAAACAGTTAAAAAAATCATAACAATTCAAATTACGAGTAAAAACTTATCACTTCTCTTTTCAGTAGCCTCTCACATGGACAAATCTATAGTGTTGCATACGGTAGGCACGTGCCACCGTATTATTCCTTTGTCGAAGGGTAAAAAAAAATTAGGTTCGTGAAATATGCAACCGTATTAATTTGTTGTGTGCCACCGTACGTATTTTGAAACTACAATGAGAACAAGTTTTATTTGCTAGAGTTGGTTTGCAAGGCTTTTATTCCATCTCAGACCCAAATTCGAATCATGTTAGTGTCATTTTCTTAGTCAAATGGTGTTGTCGTTTGAAAAAAATTATGTATATTTGTTTCTTATAATCAAATGTTGTCACCGTTTGAAAATTTTTCCCAATATTTTTTTCTTATAGTCAAATGTACATAATTTCTTTTCAAACAGTGACACCATTTGACTAAAAAATGACAATAACAAGATTCAAACTTGGGTCTGTGATGAAATAAAAGCCTTACAAAGTACAAACCAACTCTACCAAATAAAAATTCTTCTCGTTGTAGTTTCAAAATACATATGGTGACACACAACAAATTAATACGGTTGCACCTTTCACGAACCTAAATTTTTTTATCCTTCGACAAAGGAATAATAGGATGGCACGTGCCACCGTATGCACCACTAAAGATCCGTCCATGACTTGATAATTCGTGCAACTAAGCTTCAAATCTGTATTTAATTAATCAAATACTTGTTTTTTACGTTATTTTTTTTATTCTAACTTCGATAAACCGAAGTAGAATATGATAAAATGTATAGTATACTTCAAAAAAAGCTGTTAAAAAAGTAACGCAAACAGAGATTATTTCGTAAATGAAAGCAATTGTAATTGGAAAGTTTATTACAGATCGGACCACTTTTTGGGTCCAAAAGACCCAAAAAAATCTAAACAAACTAAACTTCTCATGCATATCTCATCCAGATATATGGTTTAAAAAAGATAAAAATTTACACAGATATGTTCTTTATATAATTATATTTTAGATTTTTTATATTTAAAATAAGTTAGTTACACAAATTCAAAAATAAAGCTTTAATAAGTTGTACTTACGCATAATTAACTTATAATCTTGAATTTTAAGTAATATGCATCAATAAAGTACTTCATGCATAAAAAATGATTTTTAAGAGTTTTTGTCATATGTTTTATAATATAGTATAGATAAAAAAAAAAGTAATTGAAACTCTATTTTTATACCGGATACGTTTGGTTTGATTTATATAAAACAAATAAATAGCGTACAATATAGAATATATAGATACAATCCTTCTTAAAAATGTCAGCATCAAAACAAATATTTGCAAAATGAATCGCAAGTTGGGTGTCGGCTAACAGGTTTTCATATAATTTGATCATCTCCAACATGGAGCTTTAATGTATTTGATTATGTTTATCTGCGGTTAATTACACGAATTCAAACATAGAACTTTAATAAGATGCACTCATGCAAATTCTACTTGTAATCTTGAATTTTAAGTAATATACATCAATAAACAGCATTTTATACATAAAATTTTGTTTTTAAAAGTTTTTATCAAATGCTTTATAATATAATACATATAATTAATGTTGTAATTTAAAATGAAGAAATTATTGAAAAAACACGACAAAGCAACGAAGACGACCCTTACAAAAATTCGACCATCTTCACCCTATAAAAACCACCCTTGCTCTCGTTTCAATTCCACCCATAACAACAACAATGGCTTCATCCTCCACCCTTTCCACTTTTCTCCTTTTGCTTCTTCTTTTTCACTTCTCCGACGCCGCGGTTTTCGACATCCGAAACAACTGTCCGTACACCGTCTGGGCGGGTGCGGTGCCTGGTGGTGGCCGCCAGCTTAACAGCGGCCAATCATGGTCCTTAAATGTCGCAGCCGGCACATCACAAGCCCGTATATGGCCCCGTACTGGATGCAACTTTGACGGGTCGGGTCGAGGGCGGTGTCAGACCGGTGACTGTAACGGCCTCCTCCAGTGCCAAAACTTTGGTCAGCCACCTAACACATTGGCTGAGTACGCTCTTAATCAATTCAATAATCTTGATTTCTTCGACATTTCGCTTGTTGATGGATTCAATGTACCGATGGAATTTAGCCCGAATTCCGGTGGGTGCACTCGTGGCATTAGATGTACCGCGGACATCAATGGTCAGTGCCCTAATGAGTTACGTGCACCTGGAGGGTGTAACAATCCGTGCACCGTGTTTAAGACGGATAATTACTGTTGTAACTCTGGAAGCTGTTCGCCAACTGAATTTTCAAGATTTTTCAAGACTCGGTGCCCTGATGCTTATAGCTACCCCAAGGATGACGCTTCCAGCACGTTTACGTGTCCCGGTGGAACCAACTATCGGGTCGTTTTTTGCCCGTGAAGACGTTTGATTATCGATCAAACGAGCAGATTGAAAATGCAAGCAATAATAAACAAGTTGGAAATGTAGTCTCGTAATAGTTAAGGCTTCTTCCTTAATAAATCTCGAACGTTGTCGTAATGAATATCATAAACGTTGTGTTATTATGTTGGTTTCATACGGCAGCGGGCAGAAAATTAACCGATCCAATTGGAACTGACTGATTCAATTAAAATCGACCGACCATAATTGGATATCCAATTGTAATTGGATCGGATTTGATTGAAAATTTCAACATCCAATTTGGATCGGTCGGTTCTCGGATAGCAGTCCAGAACCGACCAAAACCGAACTGATCAACATCCAATTACCCATCCGATGACCATCCAACCATTATCCAGCTATCATCCAATTAATTTATTTTCAAATTTCTTAAATCAGAATTTGTTTTATGTGAGACTTTGAATTTTAAATTCCCTTGTGTTAGTTTTAACACATATTAAAAGTGATTAATTAATTTGTATCATTGTTGGAGAATTGGATTGAATCAACACACTCGATAGATCCAATCTCATCGGATCATTCATTGGATATCCAATGGATGAAATCAAACCGATTCAATCATCCATTGGATTGGATTGAATCGGTTATCCAATGTTAATCAGATCAGATCGAAAATTTGAAAGTCATACTTGTCATAAATTTTGGCTTAATAATTTGTTAATATAAAATTCACAATTGAGAGTGTTTAGTATGGGTTGCAACCAATCACAATCGAGAATGTTTAAACAAAATAGTCTTTTTCCTCTTTATTTATAATAAATAAATAAATATTCCTATAATTACACATGTCGAAATTTGATTGGAGGAATAAAACGAATAGAGAAATCTCTAAAAGGGAAGGGTCTTTTCCTTTGAAATTCCTTGTCAGACAAGTTAAGCCTTTCGGCCTCTACGCATTTCACCGTGCCATCGAAAATTCCCTTTGTGCATATAAATCTGTCATTTCTTGGAATATCTCTTCTGATACAAAATCGTAAGCTATCACCTCACCAGCTAGCTAATCAGACGCCTAACGGAGCAATGCTGCGTGGAGGTAGAAGGCCCACTTGGAGATGCTCTTACAACATTTAAAGTAATCATAAAGTATTCAATTACAACATTTAAAGTAATCATAAAGTATTTAATGAGACATTTAAGTATAGAGACTTCCATATATATAGAAAATTTCATTTTAGCTACAAATTTACGTAAACTCGATTTCCCAATTAAAAAAAAATTGCGTAATTTGCATAAATAATTTGCGTATTTTCTTATAATCTAAAAATAGGTTTTCCACAAATACATAAGACATTTACATAAACTATTACTAAAATGGAAATTTAGTTTTGAAAATAACTAAAAGTGTATGGGGTCGGAGATATTTGGCTCTTTTGACCAATTTCCTTATTTTTATCTTCCAAATATATGTTAAAGTTTGTCATTCCGAGAGTCGCACATTTTAGAGGATCTCAAACAACTTCTTTAAAATAAAAAAATGAAGATTTTGAGCCAATATTTTGCTTCAACAGTTTCCTTAAAACTATCTCTAAAATGAAGAAAGTAGGAGGAAATGGGTCTTTTTCTCCAAATATGGAGAACACCCTAAAAATAATTAACATGTCAGACCATCGATAGGAAATTTAGAAAATAAATAATATTTTTAATAAATAAATGAAATACTTTTAATATTATAATCAATGTTAGATTCTCCAAAACAAATAATTTGTTGGAGATGAATTTAACTTTTTTTAGAGATTTTGACTTTTAGTTCTCTATTTTGGAGAATTTTGTAGAATATGTTGAAGATGCTCTTAAAATTCTTTCTTTTTCGTTTTCAAAATATACTTTCAAACGTTAAATTTTCAACTAATTGAAATAAAACAAAAATTTACAACAATAAAATTAGGTTTATAGAACGTAAAAGAAAGCTTAACTATTCTAATATACTACTAACTTATGCACCGCGCGCGTTTGCACTGTAACGATTTTTTTTTTGTCAAGAATTATGTTAAATTGTAGTATAAGAAACCTAATTTCTTAATTAATTAATAAAATAAAATATAAAACAATGAATGTACTTAACATATTTTAAATATAAGTTATTTATATTGTTAGAGATCTTAATACATAATTTATTAGATTTTTTATTTATGGATAGACATTCGACCATTATCGCCAGATATTAATGAGAACAAACACACTACTTACATTGCAATTCTTAGTCTTCCCACTCCTGAACAGATCTCATGCGTAGCCTAAAAATCCTATTATCACCAGTTAAACTTTCAATAAAAGAATTCCTTGCTTATGTATCTTATGTATGTAATTAAACAAAAGAACCAAATCTAGCAGCAAAATATGTCAGTATAACATATATAGGAACACAGTTAAACCGCCATCAATACCTGCACATTCACTCATGCTCCCGTATACTTATCATTTAGAAGAATCAAAACAAAAAGAGATCTATATAAGATCAAAACTAAACGCAGATAAAGAGATGGAGATATCATAATTAAACCAGCCGAGAGAAAAGGGCATAAAGATACAAAATTACCATTATCGTCAAAATTACGCCATACTAATCTTCCACTATGAAGTAGTCCTGGTTGAACTTGGATGCATGTGAGAATGTTTTTCAAGTACATAATCAATTATTTCTTGATAACAATTTATGTCAAAACTAAATGGAAAGAAATATACTGAGGGATAAAGAGTTGGAGAAGGGAAATCAATTGCAATAAAGAATAAAGAGGATGTTTATCAAGAAGTTGTATAATTTAAGTTAAATGTTTATCAAGAATTTGAATAGTTTGGGAGGTTAAACTTAAGTTGGACGCAAAAATTACCAAAAAAAGAATCTCATTTATTATGAAACATATAACTTGCCTATAGGATAGTCTTTAACTTAGTTAGTATTTATAAAATAAAATAAAAAAGGATAAAGAAACTCCTCGCTTTTAGAAAATGGCACATCATACATGGTGGTTTCTTCTTTAATATATATATATATATATATAGGACTTAAGTTTATAAAACCAAATAATTATGTGTATTATGTAAAAGTTTTACAATAAGTTTATAAGACTTGTTTTGTGAGATCTCACATCAGTTGGGGAATGGAATGAAGGTTGTCTTATAAGAGATTCGATACTTTCTTTATCAGACATGTTTTAAAACTTTGAGTGTAGGTGTTGATAAAGCTAACAATATATGGTATGGTTGGCTTTGGATGTTACATGTTTGGGTGTTTTAATAAGCTTTTAATACACTTTTGAAATTAAACGTTATATTTTTTTTATATATATGTCATGATTTTACAAAATCTTATAAAAACAGGTGTCCTATGTATAAAAATCATGTGTTCAAGGACACTTCATCAAAGTCGAATGTAAAAAGGTAATAATATACTTTATTTTAAAAAATGTCATAAAATAATTGTTAATAAGCACAAAAATATGTATTGTGACATTTTTACGTATGATGTACAATTGTTAATTTGATACTAATACAACTTGGGGTAGCCGCCAGTGTGGTGACCAGAAGTAGCCGACAACTTGCTAATGGGTATGAATAGAGGTGACAATGGGTCAGATTGGGTTGGGTTCGAGTTCAACCTATTTATTAAACAGGTGAAAATCTCAATCCAACACAATCCATTTAATTAAATGGATTAAGATTTTTCAACCCAACCCAACCTGTTACCTAAATGGGTTGACAGGGAGTTAACCTGTTTAGATTTTCTTAATCCAACATGTTAAATAAATAGGTTGAATCTGGATTAACTCATCTAATTTTAAAATTTTAAATAAAAAAAGACTAGATTATTTAAAAAAAAATTTAATTAAACACAACACAACTACAAATATAAACAAATTGTTCAAAATTTGAATAAAACACAACCACAACAAATATATTGTTCAAAATAAGTTTGATTGGACTTTGGAGATGATAATGGAGTAATGGACTAAATGGTTTTCTTAGAGTTTCATAATGATTAAGAGTAATAGAGACGATTAGAATTAGGAGTTTCATCTCACGACGGTAGAATTTTTAATTAAGAATATAACAAAACTAAAAATTAGAATACTAGATATAACATTAAGAATAAAATAAAATTGTATAATATTTTTAATGAGTTGCAAACGGGTTGAAAATATGTTGTAAACAGGTCGAAAAATTCAACCCACTTATTTAAAGTGGGTTAGACGAATCGACCCATTTATTTAAATGGATTGCAAATTTCAACCCAACTTACTAATTTTAGGTTGGATTATGATCAGAATTAGGTTAGCTGGTTGGGTTTTTTTTTTTTTCACTCCTAGCCTCCAAGGTAGGAATAGTCTTTCATGCAATAGCCATCGCATCACAATCTTGTACATGGCCCCCTGCCAACTACACATTTGGTGGGTCGGGTATAATTAAATGTGACTATGTGGTGCAAAGCCTTCAATTCAGCACACCGCGGCGTGGGCATTTTACACATGTTCAAAAACTGGTCCTTGGTCGATCAGGTCGGGTCAAGTCGGGTTCAAATCATTTCTGGGTCAAAATAGTAATAATCAGTAAAGGGTTGTTCGGTAATGGCTTAATGGGTTGGTAAGTCTGTATGGCTTATTCGGTTAGTCATATATTGTTGTTCGCTTCTAGCTGATTCAGTCAGCCGATGGTTTAACAGGTCAGCCAGAAAAGAGGAGTCCTATGGACTCAGCCATTTATGCAACCATTTATTCAAAATCTATCATTTCCCTCTTTTCCCCAAGTTTGTTTTAATTAGCAACCCATAACTAAAATATGTTTTAATCATAAAAATCTTCTATAAACATTATAAAAAATAATAAGAAATTCAATTTAATTGAATTATTTAATTATTTAAATAAATAATAATTTAATCAAATAATTAAATATTATAATTATTAGTTTAAAAGATGTCAAAAAGTAAAAAAAAACATAGATAACATATAAAAATCAGTAAACCAAAATAAATATCAATTGAAAATTACAATGTATAAGAAATATTATTAGAAAAAATCATCAAATTTAGAAGAATTTGTGTGTTTTATGATATCAAAATCAAACCCTTTGTGGATTGTTGAATTATAAACTGTACATCAGTTTGTTT